ACTGTATATTTTAGTCTTTCCACTACCCCAAAATTCTGTTTTTGCCTCCATCTGTCGTCTTACTGAAGAAGTGGTCAAGTACTGTTTCAGAAGCGAACTTTAAAGTTTTGTCTCCACAACACTGAATCATGCTGTGCAGAGATACTTGCACAGACTCTGAATGAGCTATCTTAGGTACTGGGAACAGTACAGCCATCTTATCACAGTGCCTGTAATTAGGACTGCACTTAGCTTGGACAGAGCACTGTGTTAATGTGGCTATATAGTGATTCTGGTACTTCGTGCTTGTTCAGCACTTGGGAATCTGTAAGGCATTGCACTGCCCTAGGAGCACTCTTTAGACTATTTGGCAAAACTGTACTCTTTTAGAGACAACTTCAGTGCTCATTCTGTTATAAGAGTGAAATGTCTCAAGCCCAAAAACTCAATCTTATGAAGACGATTGTCTTCTCACCCGCACCAGCATCTGTACCAAGATTTATTAGCTATTTGGTACTGACCACAGCAACATTAATCAATATTAAATTTCTTGGCCAATAAAATTTCATACTGTATTAATCACAGAATTAAACTGTGCCTTACTTTAGTAGCTAGTCAAGGTTAACTAGACCTTCACAACTGCAAATTTAAAGACACAAAAGATAAATGTATGTTTCTATATGGAAAAACAACAGTGGCAGTAAAATGCAATGTTGGGCAAATTCTCATGTATAGGTAGGTAAAATCTATTGGGTATCAAAACAGTAAAATGCAATTTTAATATAACCAGTTTACAAAGAAATCTCTTGAAGTTCAGTTTGCTTAATATGTACTGGTTGTGTAAAATCAGTAGTCAGATTGCCATAAACTAGTAGGGGGAGGGGAAAAAACAATATAGTTATAAGTGTGCTAATGAGCAATCTTGCTAAGAAAGCTAATTTACATTAACATCAGTACAAGATTGATGTCAGAATCAGATATCAAATCAGCTGTCTATATATAAATTAGACGTGTATACCTCTCTCTCGGTTGTCACGCCTATCTCTTTCTCCATGTCTTCTTTCAAAGGATGAATCTCTTGCTTGCTCTCGATTGTCATAGCGATCCCGGTCAGGGTAGCCACTTCGCAATTCCCAGCTGTCATGGTAATTGCTACTACTGCTATGACTGTCAACTTGAGACCCTCTTGCTCCCCGACTTCCTAAAAAAAAAATATATCCATGCAAAAAAGAGCACATGCTTAAGAAAACTCACTGACGTTTAATATCAATTCAAGTATATTATGCTATTATTCAGCTAAAATACTAAAACTAAAATAAACTGCATTCAAAATTCTTCCCAACACAGAAGTTGGGAAAGTGTTCTTTGCAAGCTTTCAGGCACAAGCACCCATCTTCAGGCCTATGGATTCTCTGTTGTTGTTCCGAGATCTTCAAGGAATAAAAAGCTAAAAGTGTAACAGGTCTGACCTCCTGTCACATTTCTATCTTCTTTCATTACTTGGAGATCTCAGAACAGCAGAAACTCCCTATGCCCAAAGAAGGGTTCTTGTACCCAAAATCTTGCAAAGAACATTTTTCCAATTACTCTGTTGGTCTAATAAAAGATATCACATTTACCCAAAGAACCTTGACTGCCTATGTCCTTAGACCAACATGGCTACAACCAAAAACCCTCCTGGCACACAATGTTTTTCAAAGCTTTACTCATTTCCAGGGCTTAAAAATGTATCGCTATCAAGTCTGATACTGTATATAGTACAAAAAAGTTTCTCAAATAAAATTAACTTTTCAAAAGCAGAAATACAATATTGTACTTCTGGTTCCAGACAACTGCAAACTAAATATACCACACTGAAATAACATACTTTTTATCAGGAGCAACCAATGTTCTCTCATTAGGATATGGGTATTTCCAACTAGTGAGAGAAAACTGAAATTCGTCCTTAGGAAAATGTAATCCTACAGACTTTGTGCAGAAAAAGTTATCAGGATAAGCTGCAAATATAGGCTGGTTCTTCTTCAAAATGGAGGCTTTTTTTAAGGAAATGTTACAAAGAAAACTGAGAAACCAAAACCACAAACAAACAACACCAAATATTGATAACGAAGAAAAACCTACCAGTTCTTCAAGTATGAGTTACATTAAATTAATCATTTTAAAGACACGTAAAACATGCAGGACCTTCAATTCTCAGTAAACATGACAGAAGCTATATGCAAGTACCAGTTTGGGCATGAAGGCACGTTTGAGGGGGAAGGAAATATGCTTATGTTTAAAGACTGCCTTTGCTAGTCTTTCATTACATGCAAGTCTCTTATTATACTTCAGCATCTTATTTGTATTGTTTGGCCCTTGGGAGCACCTAAAGTTGCAAATACATTAAAGAGAGTGGTACAGAATTTATTTTTTTAAGCAGCATGGCAGAATGCCGATGCTACACTATTTTAATGAATGGGGAACTCAGAATTGATATAGAGTTAAGGAAGAGTAGTTTTATGTTAATGAACATAGACCTGCATATAGCTTTAAAAGCATGAACTTATTTGGCAGCAATTCAATGTGAAATAACATAAGGAAAATCAGTTTCCAATCCCCATTAGTAAAAAGACTATTTTAAATGAAATAGTACCCTTGTCAGATAATTCTGGACCTCTGCCTCTACTTCTGCCAGTCCGATCACTTCGGCTTTCATTTCTAGATTCATTTCTAGAGTCATTCCTTGTTTCAGAACGGGAACTGTCTTCTCTGCCATGAGATCTTCCATAACTGCGTGAATCCTCCTGGTACTGATCGTCCTTTTTATGGGCATCACGACTTTCTCGGTCTCTGTAGTCGTGGGTATCACGTGTAGAACGTGAATCTCTCTGATCACGGCCATCTTTGTTATCTCTGCTGTAATCCCGGGTATCCCTGGTATCTCGAGCGTCTCTGGATTCCCTTGGCTCCCTGCGGTCTCTGTTATCTCTGGTTTCCCTACGATCCCTTCCATCACGAGATTCTCGGTCATCTCTGTGATCTCTGGAGGTACTCTGCTCTTGATCATAATCTCGTTCCTCTCTGGTTTCTCTGTCTTTTTCTCTTTTTCCTCTAGGTTCTGGAAAAATAGATATAAAAGCAAACTTAAAGTCAATATTCAGTCTGAGCAAAGTCTACAACAGGGGTTGGCAACCCCTGGCACACATGCCGAGCGTGGCACACAAGGCCATTTTGCTTGGCACACCATGGCCAGCCCCAGCTCCAGGTAGCTGCTGCCAGCGACGGAGCCTGGGCTGCTCCCAGCAGGGCTTGCAGTGTCCCAGCTGCCTGCTGGGAGCAGCCTGGGATCCTGGCTGGCAGCAGCTCCTCAGAGCTAGGGCCGGCTGCAGCCGGAAGGCTCCAAACAGCTGTGCCAGGCTCTGGGATCAGCTCCACACTGGCTCACGCAGGCACACCTCAGAGCGGGCTGTGGGGTAGGGGCCTGAGGCAGCGCAGCCCAGGTCTCTCCCCAGCTCCCTGCATGGAGGTGATGAGCCCGGTACAGCTGTTTGCAGCTTGCCTGCTGCTTGCTGCAGCTTCCCAGAGCCCGGGCTGTTTGGAGCCTCCTGGCTGCAGCCGGCCCCAGCTCTGGGGAGCTGCTGCCAGCTGGGATCCGGGGCTGCTCCCAGCAGGCAGCTGGGATGTTGCAGCAAGCCCCCAGAGCCAGGGTAGCTGCTGGCAGCCACAGAGCCCAGGCTGTGGGGCAGGGGCTTTGGCTGGGGGGCAAGGGGCAGTAGGGCATCCTGACATGTACCCCTTGCCCTCATTTTGTTCTTCTGCCATGCCAGCACTCTGGCACCTTCTGAGGTAGGCATTGTGGTGTTTTTTGGCACTCCGGCCAAAAACCATTGCCTACCTCGGTCTACAATATTAAATTCCAAGCATCAAACAAACAAAGTCACTTAAAAAAAACCAAACACCCTACCAAATTGGGTTTCTGACCCAAAAGCACAATCCACAGAGATCTGCAAAGGCACAAATTGTAGCTATACTTTTATAGCTTTAAAAAAAAATCTCCCCCATGGATTTGAATTTGTGATTCCACAAAGTATGAAATTTAATGGTTTACAGATAGAATATATTCAATTACTTCCAAATGTATCAGGAAGACTCATCACAACTTTGGGACAGGAATAATGAACAGGACACAGAGATCAAACACTTTTCTTGTGGTAGTTTCCCCTTTTCACTATTATGTACACACACAAAAAATGGGATCTATGGATGCGACCATACTACTGAATTTTATGTTCTCTACTTATGTTAACCCCTGACTTATCACAGCATGCTCCTGTTTTTATGGCTGGTCTAAAAAAACAAAACCTCTAATAAATGTGTTCTTCACATGACTTCTTTGGGACAAAATGGCATTTTTGTTCATCAAAAATTATCCAAACGCGATGACAGATTTCTAGTTGAGGGATTGCTATATTTTTTCTTTGCACACAATCCACTAGTCATCATTAAAAAACAGTTGAGTGAGCAATTAGGAAGGGTGGGACGTTATGCTTATGGTCCTTGTGGAAAAGGGGAGCAACAGTTACTTATGACTCTAGGGCTTCTTCTTGGCTTCTTGCTGACTGGGTTCCAAGATGATTAGTACATTTATTAACTTCAGGTTTTAAAATTTTTAAAGTCAACCACATTTTGGAGGCAATATAAAATATTTGTGAAATACGTATTCTCGATCATACCATCTCTCCTTTCATGGCGTCTATCACGCGATTGTGAAGTTCGGTCACGATCATGCCTTCCCTTTTCTCTCCCAGGAGATCGATGCCTCGAAGGACTTCGCTTCCTCTGAGGAGAAGAGGAAGAATGTGGGGGATAAGGAGAGGACGAACGCCTCACTGGTGGGGAAGCTGTCCTTTGGTAGGATGGAGAAGGAGTTCTTTTGCGGTGTGGAGAAGGGGAGTGTCTTTGAACAGAGGAGCCTGACTGCGATGAAGAAGAATGATGTCGAGAGGATATGGGAGAATGATGTTGACCCGATGGGGAAGCAGACCTACAGGAAACATCATTAAAAAGTCATGTATGTAGCATGTTATAATAATATAAGGAAGTGGGGGGGAGGGGTTATTATTATTCTACTACTACTACTACTTCAATGTATAGAATGAAAGAAAAAAAGTAGGCATTTCTACATTCTTCCCTTTTAATCCACCTAAGAAAAATAATGCCATGTTATTTCTACAATATTTTAAGTGATCACCTCTCATGCTTATATATAAATAGACTGTATGAGATGGTTAACTACTTGATGCCCACAGTCAAAACTTTAGATCGGGGGGTCAAACTCATCTGGCCCTGGGGGTTGGATGAGTAGCACAGGGCTATCTGTAGGCCAGATAAGTAGTGTTGAGCCAGTCCCCAACCCTGCACGTGGAGTTTTTTGCATGCAGCACGTTTACCAATCCAGCCCTCTGTGTGCTGCGTGCAGTGCACATGCCAGTCCAGCACCATGGGTGCCACATGCAAGGACCAGGTCTGGCCTGACTCCACATACAGGGCTGGTCCAGGCATGTACCGCATATACCAGGGGCGGGCAATTATTTTGGGCAGAGGGCCACTTACTGAGTTTTGGCAAGCCATCGAGGGATGCATGACAGGCAGCCAAGAACAGATAAATATTAATTTTCTAAATTTTTTAGGGGCCCTGCGAGCCAGATAGAATGGCCTGGCAGGCCACATCTGTCCCACGGGCTGCATTTTGCCCACCCCTGGCATACAGCATGCCAGATCTAGTCTGAGACCTGTGGGCAGTACTGCAGGCTTCGCAGGCCAGACCTGACCTGACCGTGAGCCATATCTTTGAAACCCCTGCTTTAGATTAATCAAGAGCACAATCATTTTCAAAAAAACTACAGATTTCAGAGCAATAAGGCACAAATGAATAGACAAGCACTTGATTACTCTGAAACATTTTTCCTCAGGTCTGGCCATTTTATTCATCAAGGTCAAGGTTTCATGGTAACAAGACAAACAATTTACACATTTTTTCTTTGGATGCACTCTATTTTATTTAGGTACACCATAGGCATTGTCTCTGTTTGTGGTCTGTAAAGCTGGCTTCTTATTTTTGTATTTCTGAATTCTATCTATTGGACATGACTAGGGACCTACTGAATTTATGGCGGAAGTGGGGTACACTGCAGCTCCTTTAACCTTGCAGGTTCCCTCAGCGTGCCCCTCCATCACCGATTGGTGGAGGGGCTGCACTTGTAGCTCACTCCTGATCGGTGGGGAGGTGAAAACTGTGGTTTTAAATGTGGCTGTATTTTTGCCTCCTGCCAGTGACTGGCTGAGGGGCCCTGGCAGCCCCAATGCTTGTTGCTGACCGACAGGGAGGCAAAAACCACACTATATTTAAAACCATGGTTTTAGCTTCTCTGCTGATAAGAAGGGAGTGGTGGGCCCCTCTGCCAAACAAGGTGGGGGGGGGGAAGGGGCACACAGGGAACATGAAAATTAAAGGAGCTGCTGTGTACCCCATTTCCGCCATGCATTTGGTAGGCCCCCAGGCATGACCCATCACTGAGACACCCTTCTTTGTCTAAGACTTTAGAAAAGTTAGGCCCCAGTGCTGCAAACTCTTACGTGTAATTCAAGTGAGGAAACAGGACTATTCATCTACTTAACATTAAGCAAACAAAGGAGTTTGCAAGAGCAGGGCTCTTTAGCAAGCAATGATTCAGAGTTGCTCACGTTAAGTTCTTTAAAATGCAGAAAATTAGAACAGGGTTTTTTAACACTTCTACTAGAGTAAAGAAATCTACATCAAAAGCTTCAACTTCCTCCAAAAAAGATACAGCTCGACTAGAAATTTTCCTGCCATGCTAGGAAGAAATCTTGTTTGAAGTTAGAACTGTTTAGGGAAATAGAAACTATGCGATTATCCTCCCACCTGCGAGAGGGTGAAAAATTATGTTTGTGAGTGGTTGACTTGGCTGGAGCTCGGGAGGCCTGTCTTCGCCTTGCAGCAGGCGGTGAATACTCTCTGGAAGGGGAGGAATTGCTGCCAGAATGATCTGCAGGACTAGGAGAACGCTTCTGTCTATGGGAGCCTTCAGAAGGATCCCTGGGAAACATACAAGTAGCAGCTTGTTCAATATGCACAATATGGCATTCAGTACATCTCCAAGAGATTAAAAACAACCCCAAGACAGCACCTGTGCTAAAAGATAAAGAATTACTTCTGATAGAATAATTTGTTCATTTGTGGTTTCAGATAAGAAATTACCTCCATCGTACAGAGCTGAAGAAATAGCTACATAATTTATTGTCTTATTTAGTTCCAGAACTCTCTCATTAACTGTACTATACAACGCAAGACTGAACACCCTTCTACAGCTCTGACATTTGTATGATCAGGATTTTTTTTACTGCCCTCATTTAATAACTTCTGTAAAGTCAGAAATTTACTGAAAACTTGAAGTGCACAGACAAGTTTTCAAATACTAATCATGGTTCCTGGAAAGATGGAAAAATCTGATACCAACTGCAACCATCATTTGCCTTGTTATAGACCCTCAGAAGAATGTGCCATAATTTGTCCTCAGTACCTTTTAAGTACCTTTAGAAGAAACACAACACATAAAGAACACTGCCCTTTTTATAGAAAGCTGCAGCCAGTACCTTGGAAGTACCACTGCTATCAATTCATCCCAAAAGCACAAGGAACTAAGTACAGGCTATTACATTAGAGCTGCTTCAAAGCTAACTAAATAAGTACAAGGTACTGATACAGTGGCATTTCTATTTGGATAAATGTAGAGCTTTTATTTTTATCAACTCACAACGCATACGATTTACAGGTTTTCCTAAACTCAACTGTCAATACGCTAAATACATACTTAACATCTATTTTTATATGGACACATACATACACACACTATCCATCCATCCATCCACTATCTACACATAAAACCAGATGGATCTAGGGTTTGGGGAGAACACAAGTAAGCACGCATTTGTTTTAAATGGAAACCTACAAACAGAAAATTCCTCCTAATCTGCAACCTAAATTTCCTGTGCTGCAGCTTAAGGCCATTGCCCCTCATTCTGTCTCCTATGGCCACATATAAAAAGCCCATCTCTATGCACCCTATAATCATCCATCAGGAATATGAAGACCGTTATCAAGTTCCTTCTTCCCCTCTGTTTTCTCTTCTCCAAACTAAATAACCCTAGTTCTTTCAGCCTTTCCTCATAAGTCATGCTTCTCAGGCCTCTTAATTATTTTTGTTTCTGTCCCTTGGACTTTTTCCAATCTGCCCACATCTTTCTTGAAGTGTAGGGACCAAAACTGGACACAACACACCAGACAAGGCCTCACTAACGATGATCAGAGTAGGAAAAAAATCACTTCTTTTGATCTGCAAGTGACATTCCTGTTAATACAGCCAAGTATGCTGCTGGTCTTTTTTGCTACAAGGATCATAATCAGCTTATGATCTACTATAACCCTCAGATCCTTCTCTGCAATACTGTAGTCTAGCCAATCATTTCCTGGTCTGTATTTGTGCATGCAATTATTCTATCTGAAGTGCAGGACTGCACTTGTCCTAGTCAACTCTCATCCGCTTGACTGTGAAACATTTTTCCAGTCTATCCAGATCACTGTGGATCCTACTCTCCAGAGTGTCTGCAACTCAACCCACTTGGGAGTCATCCACAAATTGCTAAGTGCACACTCAATCCCACTGTCCAAATCATTAATAAAAATTATTTTTTTAGCAACACCAGACTCAGGACAGAACCACGAAGAATGCTACTTGATACCTTGTTCCAACTTGACACTGAGCCACTGAGGACTACTCACTGAGCATGATGATCCAACCAGTTATGTATCAACCTTATAGTACTTGCATCTAGTCTGAACTTCCTTAGCTTGTTAATAAATGTCACAGAATCAAAGAATTATACAAAATTAGGGTTGAAAGGGACCTCATGGAGGTCCCTCCACATTCTGGAGGTCTTCCAGTCCAACCCCCTGCTCAAAGTAGGACCAGCCCCATCTAGATCATCCCAGCCAAGGGTGTCTAGTCCAGTCTTAAAAAACCTCAAAGGCTGGAGATTCCACAACAATCTGTGTAGCCTGTTCCAGTGCTTTACTAGCATCCTAGTGAGAAGGTTCTTCCTAGTATCTACCCTAAACTTCCATTGCTGGAACTTGAGACCATTGCTTCTTGTTCTGTCATCTGCCACCACTGAGAATAGTCCATCTCCATCCTCTTCAGAATCACCTTCCAGGTAGTTGAAGGCCACTATTTAATCCCCTCTCAGTCTTCTCTTCTCTAGACTAAATAAGTCCAGTTCCCTCAGCCTGTCCTCAGAAGTCATGTGCCCCAGCCCCCTTACCTAAACACGCCAAGCAAACACCCTAAACACACCAGAAAGCTGTAATTTACAGCCAAGCTCTCTTATACCACTGAATTTACAGCAAGGAGAATACCTGTGATTGACACCTAACAAATCTCAAAAAAGCTCTCAGCCAGAAAGGACACTCCTCCAGAGAGACAGACTGCACTTCTGAAAGAGCCACCCGGATACCACATGAAGATTTGATGCGGTACAAAAAGAAAATCCTCACTAATCACACACCATTAGTGATGACATACAACCCTTCTCTGGAACCTACACGTAAAATCCTGAAACAACTTCAACCCATACTAAAAGACGACCTTTTTCTTAAAGAGATCTTTAAGAAAACCACCCATCCTAGTTTTGAAACAAGCACCAAACCTCGCTAACCTCATCACAAGAAGCAAACTTCCTATGATCCAAACCACACAGAATGGATCCAGACCAGGGGCAGGCAATTATTTTGGGTAGAGGGCTGCTTACTGAGTTTTGGTAAGACATCGAGGGCCACATGATGGGCAGCCAGGGACAGAAAAATATTAATTTTCTAAATTTTTTAGGGGCTCCATGGGCTGGACATAGTGGCTTGGTGGGCTGCATCTAGCCCGCAAGCTGCATTTTGCCCACCCCTGATCCAGATCATGGCAGAACAAGAAATGCAAAACCTGGCAACATCTCCACCACCCCCACTATACCTATACCCCACAACAGAACCATCACTATTTCTGGATCTTAAACCTGGACCTCCAGAAGTGTTACAGATCTCATTCTATGCACCAAATGCCCTGAAGGAAAATACGCAGGAGAAACCAAACAACAACTGTGCACTAAAATGAGCACACACCAAAAATCTATCAAAGACAAGAATACCCAACTACCTGTAGGGGCACACTTTGCACATGACAATCAATTCCCTCTCTTATTTCTGTTATAACCCTCAAAGGGAACTTACAAAACACCTTATGTAGATGAGCCTATAAACTTCACTTCCTAAATCTACTGGATACAAAAAATCATGGACTGAATATAGACATTGGATTTATGACATTACAACCTGCCTGCCATCTGATTCACCAGGTACCTGCCTGACCTGACCTCTTAACATTCTTCTTTTCCCCCACCGTTTCTCCCCTCCCCTCCTGTACTTTTTTCTGTCCTTTGTTTTCTTGCTTTCCAACTATTTATTTTTTTCATAGATAGCCTCTTTTCTACATTGTATTCTATCACTGTAATGTCTCCCTTTGGCCTTTTTCTCCCCCTGCTTTCTTTCCTCTCCCTTACCTACTTTACCACATCTGCTGGTCTACCCACATCCACAGAGACAGTCATCTCATCAGAGAAAGCCATCAGGTTGGTCAGGCATGACTTGCCCTGGGTGAATCCATGCTGACTGTTCCTAATCACCACCTTCTCCTCCAAGTGCTTAGAAATGGATTCCTTGGGGACCTTTTACATGACTTTTCCAGGGACTGAGGTGAGGCTGACCTATCCGTAGTTCCATGGATCCTTCTATTTTCCTTTCTTAAATATGGACACTATATTTGCCCTTTCCCAATCATCCGGGACCTCTCCTGATCACTACATGTTTTCAATGATGACCAGTGGCTCTGCAATCACATAGGCCAACTCCCTCAGCACCCTTGGGTGCATCCTGTCCATTCCTATGGACTTGTATACGTCCAGGGTTTTTTTTAATAGTCCCTAACCTGTTCTTTTGCCACAGTTGGCTTCTCACCTCCTTCCCAAACTGTGCTACCAGGTGCAGCAGTCTGGGAGTTGATTTTGCCTGTGAAGAGTGTGAAGTTTTATGTACCTACAATCCTTCCCACTGGCCCCAAGAGCATGGGAGGAACACAGGGGTTGGGAGGCAAAGGTGAGGAGAAAGAGCCAAGCTGAAAAATATGGGCTGGCGGCTCCACATTCATGCGCCCACATATTTATCTATGCATGGCAAAGCATGCTGCTGGGAGCATGGAGGCGGCCAGTGTTGGAGTGGAGGACAGGGAGCAGCTGGATGTACTGCTTATCTCTGGTATATTTGGGTACCTAGCATTGGATAGGAGGAAGAGCAACAACTGTTCCACTCCTGGCACCGGGGGGCAGGCAACATGGCACATTTGGAGGGATCCTGCAGCACCCTGAGATGCTGTGGGAACCCTGGTTAAGAATCACTAACTCTAGGCTGTTTGACTCCTTACCTTTGCTGTTAACTGCACTCGTCAACTGCTAGCTGATCCTATTAATTAAGGCTGAAGTAAAAAAAGGCATCGAATACTTAAGCCTTCTCTGCATCAACAACTAGATTGCCTTCTGCATTCTGTAAGGAACCCAGTTTCCTTGGTCTTCCTCTTATTCTCGACATACTTGTAGAATCGCTTTGTATTGCCTGCTGTCTCTTGCCATTTTATTTCAAATTATCCCATGGCCCTCCTAATTTTCTTCTTGCATGCCCATTCAATACTCTTATACTTTTCCCTAGGAGATCCTGCCCAACACTTCCCGAGTTTTTAAAGTCTGCTTTTCTAAAGTCCAATGTCTTTATTCTGTCTCTTTCCTTCCTCCCCTTAAGATCTTGAACTCTATCATTTTGTGGTCCCCGTCATCCAAGTTACCATCCACCTTCACATTCTCAACTAACTTACAGTATTAGCAAGAACCAGTAACAAAACTGGACTGGACCACTATGCAAGGTCTTACTCACTAATGGAGAATATAATGGTTATTTCCAAAGGGCATCTAGCCAAGTTATTTCTTTTTTATTAAAGTGACAATTCTATTAGCTGTAGTTTACTAATCCACTATCCAATGCCTTTATGACATTTAATAAATTCAGAAAAAGTTGGCAGCAAGTCAGGTGTAAACCCTTCTATATTTAGTGCTCTGTGAATTGTAGCTCAAAAGCAGACAACCTAAGCCAGGTTACATTACTGTTAAAAACCTAATAATGCAACATAACCCACCTCTGCTTCTCTTTTTTCTCCTTGTGCCTTTCAAAATCACGTCCTCTTTCTTTTCCCTCTCTTGATTTTTCTTCTAAGCGTTCTTTTGCTTTATGTTTTTCTTTATGTTTCTTTCCCAGGGGAGCTTCCTCTTGAACTGGAGGGGGAGGACTGGGAGTACGAGGCCCTTTCTTTTTACTCTGGTTGTTTTTTGAACCCCTAAATATAAATAACCAGAAAATAATATTTGAAAGAGTAACAAGTATTTTATTTCATGATTTAATTAGTACTGTTGCTACTGAAATTATAGGGCAAAGTGCTTTGTAGCTTTTAGGGCAGACCTCTCTAGTCCATTAGCAGACAGTGGCATCTATAACTGAACTTAACTGAATTGCAAATTCAAAAAAGAAAAATCACGTCAAGTTTTCCTTTGAGGTACTGCATGGCCACTTCAATTTATAACCCTTATTTCTGAAGCAGACTTGCAACATCTGAACTGTTCCCAAAATACAATGCCCTTGTAAGCCTGCATGCATCAAAAGGCAACATTTCTTTTAGTCTGTCTGCTTAAACTCAAATTCTAAAATTTAATATACCAGTCACCTACACAAAATGAACTGCAGGATCAGCGCTTTGGATTTTAAGCAATTTGAACTAAACAGCTCTCATTCTAAAGCAGCAACAATACTTTTGAGTGTCTTATGAACTAACATTTATATTACTTCCACTGTTCATTACAAGAAATAAAACCTATAGCTTTACACCAATATGCATTTTTCATACAACTAAGTCATAAATATAAATAGCAGCAGCCAGATGCCACTGCATATTATATGCTGATACTAGCAATTTTTTAAACTTCTTTTGCAGAGTAAATAAAATATTTTGCCTCATCTATGCAGAACTTGGTACAAAGAAAGGGTTTGGCAAATACAGGTATCTGTGCTTGTAGTGGGGTTGTAATTTTCTTTACATCTAATGGAGCCAAAAATTGATTCAGAAGTTCTGAAGTCAACAAAGTCTTAACACAAGTCTTAGCTGATTGATTTTTGTGGCAAGAAGCCCACGTGTAACATCCTATGATTTTTGCCTAATGTTATCACCTATCTTTTCTCCTTTCCCCAGTCCAGTAACTCTACAGGGTGCTCCTAGAATCTAGAATATCAAACAATATTTTCCTAGATAGCAATATGCAGTTACAACAGAACACCTGACTAGCCAAATTTAAGAATGTTATTTCTGGTTAGGATGAACTCCCATTTAACAGCTATTTAATATCCTCTAATGCAATTTTATTTTTACTTGTTTAGATTTCTCTAGCTCCTCTCACCCTCCACACTTGTTCTGATGTAAAGCATAACGTTCAATGCAAAAATCTAAACATTATTATTACATTAATTAACAGGCACCTATATGTACTGACATGCCCCAAAGATTGTGCCTGGCAAGTTACAGTTTAGACACCGACAGGTACACGAAGTCAGACAATCCCCATCTAAAGAAACAATGAAAAAACTTATACCCAACTAATCAGAACATGAGATGTTTCATGAAGAATGAATATATCAACGTGAAACATCCTCTTCCATATATGCCCGCATACTGACCTCTGCTGGTCCAAAAGCGGTGAAGACACTGTAGAAGCCTTCTTCTCTTTCTTACTTGCTGAAGAGGAAGATTTGGGACTAGATCTTCGCTTTGGAGATTTACTAGACTTTCTTGGTGAAGGCGATGGTGATAATTTAGATCTAACCACCTCTGGAGAAATCTTGAGAAAAAGGAAAAAAGTAGTCTCAACTGCAATTATAATCTTAGTCTTGATCCCCAAAGACCTCATCTGATGCTTACATGCATCCTGAACAAGAAATGAACACTAGCCATCATCCAAACTTTAGATTATGATAACCAATTACCTCACCTTAGACATACCAACCATATATTTTTTCCAAAATAATATATCTTAGGATTATAATGTCTCTAAGTGATGTGATGTGTAAAAATGCTGTGCTTAAATAAATCAATGATATAAAATGAAATTAACTGATGCTCAAGCCCACTACAATTCAGATTCTTACAAAGTTATCACTTGTCCTGAAAAAAAATCACACAAGATTAACTTACAGCTCAAATTCTCAGTCTTCTGGCTTCTCCACCCATAACAAACAGACTTCAAACCAGCACACACGTTCCTCTTACGAGCTACCTACCAAGCTTACTTAGAAGAAGCGTGAACAATATGAATAGTAAAGGCATGGGGAGGGAGGGAAAGCAGTGGAAATCAAGACTTCAAGCCTGACAAGTGATTTTGAGACAGAGCATATAACAATTTATATCCTGTAGTTCCTTCTTTGCTATTTGTCTCCTTCCCTACATACAGAAAAAAGGTCAGCTCGAGTACTGTCCTGTTTCCAAAGTCATAAACAAGAATACTTCTTTACCACCTGAGTCATAGTAGCATACAGAGGTTCCAAACATGCATGAAATAATTAGGGGGCCATGAAATGGCTGTTGGCAAGCCACAAGAATGTGTTCCTCTGCAAAATACAAACCTCTTTCTTAATGACTATTTCCTCTCGCTTCTCCATGTTTTCCTGTTCCAGCTTCATTAGTTCTCTTTGAATCTTTTGGCGCTTCATTTCCAAAGACAACTCATGATCATAATCGTAGTTAACATCTCCATTATCAGAGTCTTTATTAAAAAAATGTGATAGGCAATATATGAAATAAGTAGTCTTAAACGGGTATACTTAACACAAGACATGTAGGTTAGCTATTTAACAAGCAAACATACATATAGGGACCTCAACAAGCCAAAGTCTGATCTCTGGTATAAGTGGTGGAAGTCTGGAATAACTTGAATAACATCATGTAACTATAATATCTGATTTATAATACCCTTATCTTGGTTGCACAAAAATAAGATTTTTTTTTTGTGGCAGATTTACATGAAGTAAGAAGGGAGAAAGCAAATAGGGAACTATTTTTCCTCTTGTTTACTTTCTAGTCGCTAAACCACTAGAAGAAACTGAAATCATAAAAAACAGAATGCTCAATTTCGGCAAACTCCAGCACAATATCAACGAGTTCTCTTCGATGACGATATTGATTTTGCTTAGTGGAAATAGCTCAGTGATTCAGACTTACTTGGAGGTTAATTGTAAAGAAATGTGGTTTTTATCCTTCTTGTTTCTTTATTATATAAATTAATTATACACTAAAATGTACTTGAAGAATACTGGATATTTTTGTTTTTACTTTATGAAGTCTTATTTCTTCTTGATTTTTATATTAGAAATCCAAATATAATCTCCTCAGTCTTACTTGGCAGCTTATACTTGGAAGGCAATAAGTGTAACATCATTGCCACCATGAAAGTGAAAGCTTATTGAAGAGGGAACCATTTTTTCCTCTGTTTAAAATTATTTTTATTTTATTTACATTTGTTTAACATGCTAATAACATTTACATTCATAATAGCACCATGGACTATAATTATACTTTCTCCATATCACAGTCAATTAGCATTACAGTTCAAAGAGCTTCAAAGCTCCTTTGGCTGAAAGATTTGGAGTACAGGTAAGATTTAGGATGTGTAATCACACAGCAAATCAGTGTTATATTCTGTTCATCAGATCACCATTTAAAATATTTTCATATCATTTTATAATGCAGATTGTGCTTAACTGTGACATAACTAAGAATGCTCTAAGAATATTACTGCACGGTCTGAGCACCTTCCAATAATATATTTATCATGACTAGCATTTGGCAACTATAGTTTATTCTTACTAATCCTCTCCTTGTACATAAGAATTTCTTCAACCTTCTATTCAAATACGGTGTGTAAGAAACTGCTGAACACCATATTTACTCACATACCACACTTGCCTTTCCCCCAACTATTAGGCTTCCAAAATTAGGGTGCATGTCTTAATTGTGAAGGCTGGTTTTTCTGCCCAGAATAAAAGCATGGAGACACTGCAAAATGGCTACTGCTTCTTTTTACTTTCCTACTCTCCCACTCCTGTGTGGAGGGAGGGGGCAGATTTCAGCAGGGTGGATCTGGGGCAGGTACAACGAGGTTACACCTCACTTTGAGTCCTCCTGCAGCCAGCAGCAACTGTGGTATTACTATTTAGATAGCACAGTGGGAGTCAATTGCTTTTATGGCTCATATAATCTACATGATCCCTCCTAATCACTACTCACTCAATAGGTGTTAATGGCCTCATCTACTTTTTTACTGCTCTTGATTTTTCACTAATCAGGCTATCCTTTCTTTGTAAATTTTGCTCTCTCTCTCATCCTACTTTGCAGGCCTGCAGGCTGTTTTTAGCTCTTCAAAATCGCAGATCCATCCACTGAGTCCAGTCTTCAGCAGCAGCTACAATCTGGTTTTGACTACGCAGGGAAGGGAGGATGAGGAAGTTGAAGATTAAGGTTTGTCCCTGCTCTATGCAGCTAAAACTGTGGGAAAATTTTTTTCTTCATGGTGCCCTTCAAAAAACAAGGTGCATGTCTTATCTGGGTGCATGTGGCATGAGATAAAATGAAGTAATGTTAACAAATAAAAGAAATGTGAGCACATTTTTAAGAAGTAAATAAGATACCTGCACAATGAAACTCTTGCAGTGAAGTCATACCCTGTGTAGTATATTAAAATTATGTCCAATTCTGCTCTACTACAGATGATTTCATTCCACCTGAATTCACTATAAGTTCCATTGTTCCCTGCTGCCCTGCCTCCCCGCCCTCCACATTGTTTCAAATCTGTCACTTGGGTCATGCACAGCAGGTTTGCTTATTTTTTTTTTTTACCTTACAAGAAAGTTTATAAATCTTTTAATCAAATAATCACTACATTTGCCTGCTTACTCCTGGCTTCAGGATGTATTATTTCAAACATCAATTGTCTTCGTTGTTATAAAATAATGTTAAGGATTCCTAGAATGTAAGAAATTTCTTTGCTTTAATTCTGCATGAAATTATTTTAAACTACAACATTTGTTTAAAATATGTATTAACACACTTGATCTTAGCCAAAAGGCCGAGAAGCAAATTCTCAAATCAGGAATGCATAGTAGGTGATCAGTATCGAGACAAACTCCCAATTGATTGAACACTCTGCCACAGCAGTACATGAAACATGCCGACAGTTCTATATTTTATCACTTCAAAACCATTTTTAGCAGAAGAATGATTAAAACCATATTAGAGTAAATTTTCATCAGTAGTAGTTTTAACACAATTTACATACTAGAAACTTACTCTCACTGATGCCCTGTAACTATCTCCATCAACAAATTTAAAATTAATAGATTTTAAAAAACCTCTCTAGCAGAAGGACTCTCTTTACTCAGTACAATGCCTATGGGATGGAGCCCTGATCCATGATGAGAGCTCATGCAATGGTAACAAAATCATCATCATTGCTACTATAAGAACTACGCCAAAATAGATCTCTCATAATCATGCAGACATCATACAACTTTACAGTAAGTAACCTGTAGTGCTAACAAGAGGAAATGGAAAAATTATGAAAGAAAAGAAGTGTCCAAATCGATTTGTGCAGTTAAAAGAAAGACACTAGTATCTTAGACACCAAAATCCTTTAATGAGCGCAGAATAGAGAGTAGCAGTAGTAGTAATGAAAACTTCCATTTATCACCTTGCTACTGGGCTTCAGTGCGACTTCAAGGTAAAGGCAAAGGTAAATGCATTTTTTTATTTCCTGAGTTCTGCCCTTGTGAATAAGATGGATTAAACAAGTAAAAATTACTCCAAAATCTGATGTCTTTTAACTTTAAATTAATTTACTGATCAGCTCTTAACAACTGATACAATTTAGATTCCAAGAAACAACTTGAGATTTGAAAGGTTCTGCCAACCAGGAAGTGGCAACAGACGTATATCCTTCTGTTTACTGTACAAATGAAATAATGTTATGACTACAGTCTTGTTCTATAAGATGCAGAACAGATTTTCTGACAGAATACAAAACAAGAAAAAGTCAGTGGTTACATTATATTACTTGATCCAATTTGGATTGTTGTGTTCCTTTCTCCCGCACAGATAAATTCCTCAGTATTTCACAGTTATCTGTGAGTGGCCACGACATGAATCTATTGTTTAGGAAAGTGAACTTTAAAATGCTCAACTTTCCATAAACTGATAATCTGGTAGTACATGGAACACTGTAATAGAGCAAGAGGAGTCTTTATTGCATTCCACTTACCTTCTCTATTTGTTTCCCAGTCTCCATTTTCCTCTTCACTTTCTGGAGTCCTTTCCTTGGTAATTTTGATGTCTTCCTTCTCTCTATGCCTTCCTCTTGATGATTCTTTCTGCACAGAGGGGGAAAAAAAAAACCCGCACACTAAATCAGAGCAACAACTTTTTAAAAGAGAAGCCCAAGGTAGATAAAATTTCTTTATTTTGCACTTTCTAAAAAATGCTGTAGAAATATTTTTTCATTAAATCGGAAAAGTAAATATGTTCTGAATTATCTAGAAATTCTATTGGGAATTTTTTTAGTATTATTTGATAGAATTAGTATGCAAGGCAGATGAAAGGTTTATAAGAAGGTAAAATAAAGACTTAAAGACAGGGCAAGAATCAGCTGACAAGCACGTGTTAAAGAGCATTGTTTGCAGCAAATTTCTGAAAGTATGCATCAGGTTTAAACCAGATTTAAACTATTTAAAGCAGGTAGAGAATGGGCACTGCAACTGGAAGTGAGAATGGTTTTATGTAATTTAGCTTCTGAGGTCCCAACTGTAATAGGTGCATGCCTAACAGGGCTGTGTGAAGCTTCAGTCACCGATTCAATTTGGCGGAGATTCAGCCCAATTCAGTGGCTGAATCTCTAAATCTGAATCAAATCAAAAGACCCTTTAACCTCTCTGAATCGAATCGGAACCCTCAGAATTGATTCGGAGAGATTCAGAAAGATTCGATGATTCGGACATAGACGCAGCTTTAAATGTTTTTTCTACATACCTCAAGGTACCAGATGGCTTGCGAATACTGAGATGGTGAAGCGGATGGAGCTTCCCATGGGAGCACGAGGGGGTCCCCAGCATGCTTGGCAGTGGACCCGGAAGCGAACCAAAAGCACTTCTGGTCCACTTCTGGGTCCGCCAGGAAGCACACAGGGGACCCCCCACCTTCCCGACTGGTACCTCCTGGGTCTGGGGGGACACCCAAGGTCCCCCACAGCTGATGGCTAAATCACCGATTCTCTGAATTGGCATCAAATCTTCAGATTCGGCCAGATGGAACTGGGACAGTGATCCAAATCAACTAATCGAATCACTGTCCCAGATTCAGGCCGAATCCAAATCTGAATCAAATACGGCCTGTTTCACACTGCAATAATGCCTAACTTTATCCCATAATGGAAATCAAAGTATCAAAAAGCCTCATGTGGAAGAGGACTTGGGGAGAACTCAAAGCTACACAATAGCATCTAGGTTTATTGACAGCTTTACACTTGAAATATATATTCTGTAACTAAATAAATTGTTGTGAGCCACAAAGTCCTTATTTTGCAGAGGGGGCAGATGACCCTATGGAACCACAAAGAAACCAGTATATTATCATCATAGGAAATAAGGTTGCCACAGGCAGCTTGCCCATCTGCTACTCTCCTCCTTGCACTAACTCCAAGAAGCGCAGCTTAGTAGTTGATGCAGTGAAGCTAAAAACATAACTATCTGCTATGAAAACCACCGTTGTTCAAATTGCACAAATTTCTACAGTGTCTTGATTTTTACATTAGCAGCTTTAAAACAGTGTCTTACCATCACTTAAGATTTTAATGTCTTTTCACTAAAAAGTTAAATGCACTTATAAACACATTGCAAAATGCCTCCTCGTTACTGCAAACAAACAAATAATGAATTACATTTATTTCAAGGCACAACTAAGGTCACTAACTTTGGTACATTACAGTAAAATCTCCAGTAACCAGCATGCCGGCTTGTAAGGAAAAGTGAAACCGGAAGTGCCCACTGTGGGGCCCACGGGAGGGGCGGCAATGTTGTGGGAGGGGCGGCGACGTCTCAGACGCGGTGGGAGAAGGAACGGCTCGAACAGGCAAGGACGTCTGTTCGGGGCCACTCAATTGACCAGAATATTTTGTTATCCGGCATCCTCCATTCCTCAGGGATGCTGGATAATAGAGCTTTTACTGTATTTAAATTTTAAGTAGAATTGCCCATTTTCAAATGCTTAGGCCCCAGGCACACATTCATTTAAAGACAAGACCGGATCTGATTCCCGATCCCAACAGTTGCATTTCCTTCCATGCCACAAATGCATGGCAGGATGCACATTCTGAGATCAAGAATCGCAACCGCACCCCTTCCACTTGCTAGTGCAGGGGAAATCCTGGGATCATGATCAGCTTGCCCCTGTACTGGCAAATTGAAAGCCAGGTGCCAGAGCCCTGCATGGGAAGCTGGCAATCAGCTGGTTTTCCACCCTGGCCCTGGGACAGCCCCAGGTCCCCAGGACAAACCCCCTGAAGTACCAGTTAAATAGTTGGTAAGCCCGTTAAGGAATATATTTGCTGAAATAAATTAATTTGAGTACACTTTAAAATAAACTGCAGACTGTGGTAAGTACTGCCCAAAAGACAGTGAAAGGGCAAAGAGTTTAAAAGTTTCAAACATTTATCCCCTAGAATGAATGTTTTATTGGTTTAAAAGCATTAAGTAATTTAGTTATAATAAAGTTTTCAGGTGCACAATGGATTATTAGCTAAGAATTTAGCTGCTTGTACATCCGAGTACAATTCTTAGTCTGATGCTGAAGTTAACTGAAGTCACTGCTTAAACAGAAAGAGCACTAGATTTCATGGACCCAATTCTGTAAAAGTATGGCATATATTTAACATAGTTAACAGGACATAAAAGAGCTCTGCCATCACCAAGAGAGATCAGCATCTCACAGAGTTGTGCTTCAATGGCCTCATGCATACTTAAGCCAAGCTCCTCCTCAAATCAACGAAGTTTGCCGAAGTACTAGAAGTCTGACCCTAGTAAGTAAAATAGACTTCCAGAGAGAAGTTTCACTAGCCTGCTAACCCAAACAGAGAAAATATTCACAGTATTCCTGTATTCTGCAATTTTTAAGAACTTCTATTATCTAGAGAAGCAATGAGCTAACATTACACATGTAAAGACCAATATGTATATGGAGTTCTAACACACAGAATACCTAGAATCTAGAACAATCAAGCCACTGCCTATTGTAACAAGTATCCTCTGGACAAACCTGGTACTACTTAAAACTCTGAATGTTCTTTAAGCTTCAAAAAACTGTGCAAATACTCACTAATGCCCAAAGCTCCAGTGCAAGATAAGCAGATATCGACCGCTTTTTATAGAGAAGATGATGGAAAACAGAAAAGCTTAGTGACTTTCTGTAGACCAACAAATTAATATAACCCTTGGATTAGAACTCAGGTGCTTTATTTCTCTGCCACTTGTTCACTTACAAGCTCCATACCAATCACATGGTTAGTAACTCCAGTTGGGAACATTTGGTAATTAGTCTTATCACCAGGAATCTCGGTTTTCCATTTGTTGCAGAAAAACATGGATTTTCTCCTTTACAGGAGAAAACAGGGGAAACCACAGCTTTCCCTTTGCAGGTTGGCAGACTTGCAGTCTGCAAGGGGCTGCTTGGGGTTGGGGGGAGCAGGAAGGCGGTGATCAAAAGCAGGGGGGTGCCATGTGCTTATGCATGCACACACATGCACATGACAGCCAGGCAGTGTGGTGGAGAGCAGCTCTGGCAACTCTCCACAGGCAAGTCTATGGGAGGGCACAGATGAGGCATGGGGATGCAGATACAATGCAGTGCAGGGGACGGGCATGTCCCCACCAGATCTGTGTGCCCACAGTAGCCATGGGGCTGCAGCCTAGCTGGACTGGCATGAGCAAGAGTTGCCTCTGCAGCCCAGCAGACGGGACCAGGTGCGGGAGAGTGGAATATGGTGGTGAGGCTCATTGCTGCCACCACTGGGACCCCATCATCAACGCAAGGAGTAACAGACCAATGGGGGGCTGCACTGCCTTCACCTCCTCCTATCACCAGCTGCTCATGCAATGGGCCACAGCTCTATGCCACAGCTGTGGCCCAGGTGCTGCTCCTGCACTCAGTCCACCCATGCTGCTCCCCACCCCACCATTAGTGGCGACAGGAGGAGGGGAAGGCAGCACAGTGCCCCTCCTACACCAGGCTCTACCTGCTGGGCCACAGAGGCCCCCAAGGGAAGGGCAGCAGGGTGGGGAGCCCTGAGCCCCACAGCAGGCACCCTGCATCCTCCCTCTACTCCCCACAGGCTCTGTTCCAGCTGTGTCACTGTGGGTGGGGGTGAGGGCCAGGCTCCGCATTCCTCCCTCTGCTCTGGCCCCAACTGCTGCTGCCATGCACATGGCAGCCATGATTCGCGTGCTGCTGTGCTGGCTGTGGCTGGCACCCACAAGATGAAGAACAGGGAGTGGGTAGGAAGCAATGGCCAGATCCCATAGCCCTGGCAGGTGGGGGCCCCCTCTGGCAAGGCTAGTGGGGTCAGCGGGCTGCAGGTTAGGAGTAAGAGACCCTGGCAGGAACAGGGGTGCTGTGGGTTGGTGAGTTTAGGGCACCGGCAAGGATTGGGGTGGTGGGGGGAATGTGTGTCGGAAGTGAGGTGAACTGGCAGGACTAGGGGGGCTGGGGCTTGGGAGCAAGGGAGAATGGCATGGGCAAGGTACAGGCATATCTAGGCTGCTCAGTGCCAGAAAACCGGGGGGAGAGGGAGAGGGAATGATATCCACAGCTGCTCATCAGGACACAGGTATAAAAAGGCAGCAGGGGGAGCTCTGATTTTTCATGATAAAAAAACCAAAATCAAATGCCAAAGTACATAGGTATTTAGAATTTATTTTATTATACTAATTGAGGCACTGGTAGGTTTCCAAATCGTTTTAAAATTGTAAATATATCAATAAAGCAGTGTGGTCAACTGATATATATCTATCTATTAGGGCTGTGCGAAGCTTCAGTCGCTGATTTGATTCAGCGAAGATTCGGCCCAGTTCAGAGGCCGAATCTCTGAATTGAATCAGGAGACCCTTTGATCTCTCCGAATCCAATCAGAACCCTCCGAATCGATTCAGAGAGATTTGATGATTCGGACATAGACACAGCTTTAAATGTTTTTTCTACGTACCTCAAGGTATCAGGTGGCTCATTATTGCTGAGATGGTGGGGAAGATGTAGCATCCCACAGGAGCGCAGGTGGGGTCCCCAGCACACTCAGCAGCAGACTTAGAAGTGGACCAGAAGAACTTCTGGTGCACTTCTGGGTCCGCCATGAAGTCCCCCTTCCCCCCCGGCTTGGCAACTGGTGCCTCCTGAGTCTGGGGGGGCACCCAGGGTCCTCCCGCAGTCAATCACTGAGCCAGGGGGTCGCAGGCCCTGGACACTTGGTGGTGAACCCAGAAGTGGACCACAAGTACTTCCTGTCCACTTCTGGGTCTGCCACCAAGCATGCAGGGGAGGCCCTACCTGTGCTCCTGTGGGACAGTTCATCCACCCCACCATCTCAGTGTTCACGAGCCACCTGGTACCTTGAGGTATGTAGATATGAGTGGTGTTTTATTTTAAGTGTGGAAAAGTACGGATTTGGGGCTTTTAAATCAGAGAATTTTGGAATTCTTTTTAATAGAGAAAACCAGGAAACCTGATGATCACATGCTGTCATCTGTTCCCATCTCACAGTCAGTGAAATACCACAGTGACAGATAGCTTCAGAATATGAAATACATGCACATTCCTTTGAAATCCAGTTTCTTAAGCGTATAAATACCTTCTCTTACAGTTAACTTTGTGTCTTTAATTATGGGAAAGCCCTTCAACTTTGCCCCTTAGCCACAAACACTCTTCATAAGTTACTGTGAAATATATGCCAATGTCAAGTTTTGCAAGGAATTCGTCGTCTCATGATACATGGAAAAAGTAAGTATGTAAAATGTAAGTATATAATCTAACTTAAACAGGTACATCAGAAATCTTGCCTTATTTGTAAACTATTTTGTAGATTTACAGTGTTACGGTAATATCACAAACAAAAAAATCCATGAACACAAGAAGAGCCATAATAAATCGGAGCAAATGTCAACATAGTTGGGAATAATCTCTTATCGTGGACAGTACTAGATGAGAACATAAACTCAAGAAACCCCAAAATGGACAATTAAGGAACAATCCGTTCACATCAGAAGTTTCTTTCTAAATCCAGGCATTTACTCATTACCTTATATCATGAAGCATAAAAATTTATATTCCTCCCAGAAATGTTTTATACTATCTAATGCAGCTGTCTAATCCTTTTATGAAGCCTACTAAGTTCTCAGATTGTATGTTTTGGCAATGAGTTCCAGACTTTAGTTATGTGATGTAAGAAATACTTCTCTTTATTATTTATAAATTTGTTGCCTTTAAGTTTCATTTGGTGACCCCATCTATTACGTTAAAGATAAACAGGAGCATCTTATATTTCCTACTATGCATTATATACCTCTCATGTCTCCTTTTATTTGTCTCCTCTTCAAAACAGTCCAATAATCACCTCCTTGTCCTCCACTAGACACCTTCATCTTCTACTGTATCTTCTTTCAGATGGGATGACCATAATCAGAGTTTGAGATAAGACTGGACCATCAATTTATGTAATGACAAATTTTATTATCCTCTATTCCATTTTATACATTTTGTGGTTGCCACTGCACTTTGAACAATGTTTTCATTGAGCTGTCCACAATAACTGCTGTGTTCTTCTCCTGAGTACTTAAGAGTTACTTTAAAACCCAGTAATGAGAATGAATCATTTACAATTATTCCTTCACTCTGCATTACCTTGCATTTGTCAACAGTGAGTTTTCTTCTGTCTTGCTTTTATAGGTCCATATGGAGTTCCTCCAAATATTCCCTACTCTTGATTGGGCAAATATTTTTATATCCTTTATAAAATTGGCCATCCAAATTTCAAACTTCTCCAGATTCTCAATATACAAATTAATTGTAGCCCAGTCTTGGAATGAACCAGCGGGTTAGACTTCTTAACCTTTTGTCACATGGAAAATGAAACATTTATTCATTGCTTGTTCTCTTGGGCAGCTTCTAATTTTACAATTCTAAATTCTACCATTCTATTTTACCACCTTTCAACCTTAGACTGCTCAGACTCTGAAACCTTGTTTCAAATGAGGCTGCTTATATGTCAAACAAGTTTCATTAAGTCACTATTTTTGTGGAAAAGTTTCAATTCCAACAGAACACAGAAGAACAATTTTCACTTAACTGAGTTATGCTCATTTCTCCACCATATATCATGTTCCAAGAAGTGCTTAAGTCTCTCACTACCTATTTTAAATTAATGCTTACTGATAACAATTCTCATGTTAGTCCCGAATGCTACTCCCTCCAATCCTGAAGTATAACAGCCATTTTAATGACAGGGTGCTTATTTCTGTCAACAACTCAGCCACTTCATTCTTCAGTTTTTTCAGAACACTTGGCTGTACACCATCTGGTCGTGGTGACCTGCTGCCCTTTTTCAACTCGTTCCAGAACCTGCTCTTTTTGACACCTTACTCTGTCAATGTCTCATCATCATTACCTGAAAAGCATAGATATTTCCCCAACATCATCTGTGCTGGAGACTGATGCAGAGAAATTATTTCAATTCTCGGCAAAACCCTTATTCTTCTTAATACCTTCTCCTACTCTCTGTTATTTCAGCAGACCCAACAATTCTCTTGCACGACTCCTATTTCTGAGACACTTTTTATTTTTTACATTTCTTTAGTTACTGCATTAACAGAACGTCATGAATGCGATATAAGATCTCAGAATTAAAAAGACCAAATTAATGTTCACTCATGAAAAAAGGAATAATTTTTAATAATAGGGAAAAACACACATTCCCACTCTCTTTGTTCTCAAGAGCAGCTGAAATATTTTGATCAAATGTAAGAATATTCAAGTAAAAGACTGAAAGACTGGAAAACTGCAGCAAGTTATGAACAACTGAAAACACAAATTAGAACGGAAACCACTATGCAACTTTAATGGTAGTAATTGTAAACAATTCCCTTTTTACCTCTCAAGCAAATTCCCACTTACATGCAGCAAGTAGGAAATAACTTAGGCAAGACTGCTATGAATACCTGCAGAAGCAAAACCCCCCTTAAAAAAAAATCTTCTAGCAGATCTGAGGATAAAGATGGTCTGAAAAGGAGTGACCCAATAATAAATGGATGAGGCAGTTGCACAACTGCAGAGAAGCCTTATCAATCTTGTCTCTATTCATTAGTAATGTCAATGGAGAAGGTGAAACATTTTACTGAGGAGGAAGGGGAAGTGATGGGCAAAGGGAGGAAAGGAGAGTTTTGACTATGGAAGAAAAGAGAATTTCAACTATGGAATTTGCTACAAAGGGAGAAAAATGATGAGCTAAGGGTGCATGAATGAATAGGATAGTGAATAAACAGGCTTATGAAGAAAGGTATCCGGGATTAACAAAACGGAACTTGGGATAAGGTGCAAGTAAATGATGGGCTGGAATAAGTGTAAATAAGGCTGGGTGGTTTGTGCACTTCACTTAAGGTACACAACTAGCAGATTTTTGCCTCAGTTGGCACATTTAAGAACATCAAAAAGCAATAGTGTATTATCAAGTAGCTGCCACGCTTCATCCCACAGGCTGCTATATTATGTAACATGTATGTTGAACTTGTAAAGAGATTTGGGAACCTGAGAGGGAAAAACTGCCATATAATTGCAAAATCATTAAAATACTTTAACGCAATTAAAAGTTAAGAATTTTTAATAAATTTTGTATTACATTATACAAATGTTTTCTGTATTTAACATTCAATGTTAATTTAAAAGTCGCCATGACCAAGTTTTTAAGACATGCTGCCTGACTGCTACTGAAGGAGTTTGGAGTTTCTGTGAACTCCAATCTTACCCTAACAGGAGAAGACGATTCCTCTGTATTTCGTTTCTGTGGCTCAGTTTCAACCTCTTGACGTTTGTTCTTCATTCTTTCCCGAAGATCCCCAGTGGGCCTTTCTGGTGACCTGCATAATGCAGAAACATAATATAGCCATTTCTATCAGATTTCTTTCTCTTTTTTAAAAGAATAATAATATTCCTTCAATTATTTTTGCAATGGATAATTATACAAAAATCTAAGTTCTCCACCAAAGCAGAAGAATACAAGCTAATGAAATCTAGTGAGTATGATAATGCTAAACTGTCTTTAAATTTAAGAAGTTGTACTAGTTTCCAAACAGTCAAGGAAGACTGCTTCTAGGGGGAAAAAATTAGTTGCCACAATACTGCTTTACTAGACCAACTAATCTTATGTAGCACATTCTTGACTAGGGACAGTACAGCTAACAAGTCAAAAGTGCAGCACTATTTCAGATCAATGTTTAAAGTCCCAGCCAGGCAGTTTCCATTCATGTCTGCCTTCCCCTAATGTAATAACCACTCATGACCCCATTACACCCTTCTTACCTCTAGCCCCATCTATATTCAAAGTTGCACTGGTCAAATAAAGCTGTAACTTCTGTTTAACTAGGCTAAAACCTTGTGTGGACACATTGAGAGCATCTACACATGATTCTGCATTGGCTTTAACTAAATCTAAATTTGTTTGAACAAAGATTTAAAAGTTATACCAATGCATCAGTGAATATAAGCCAGGGCTCTGATCTGAGGTCATACTCATGCAAAATTTCCAAGTTCCCGTGGTCTTGGCCATACTCTTAAAAAGGTAAGCTATAGCAAATGTAGGTATCAGCAACCCTCCCACTAAGGCTTAGTCTGCACCAGAGGTGTCAAAATAAGCTGGCCCTGTGGGCTGGGTAAGGATCACTGGGCTGATCTACAGGTTAAATCAAAATCAACCCCTGTACCACGAGCAGTGCCCACTGCACCAGGTTCACCTGCATGCAGCACATCAGCCCCACTCCCCAACTGCATGGGCTTGTGCTGCATGCAGGTTAGATCCGGTGCTGCACGCAGTGCCTTGCTGGGCCAGTCCTACATGCTGGCTCCCTCCACCCAATCCAGACCAGACTGGCCCTGAAACCAGGGAGCAGGGCCAATCTAATAGGACCCCACATGCTCCCTGTGCTCTTCTAAATAGAACCCATTCTGCATGCAGAGCCAGGTCCAGCCCACATGCCACATGCAGAGGGAGCCCTGGAACTAGTGTATGCTGAATGCAGTGCAGGACTGGACTGGTTGCATGTGCTAGACATGGCAAAAGGGGCCAGAACAGGACATGTGCTGCATGCAATGCCCTGCATACTTATTTGATCTGAACCCGCTCCAGAGCCAGTGCACAGAGTTGGTCCGGTGCATGCACAGCATACAGCATGTACCCCAGACCAAACCTCCTCTGCCATATGCAGTACATACCCTCAGCCCAGCCCCCAGCACCATGTGCAGCATGCACGGTTGGGGCAAAGACGTGCCTCATGCAGTACAGTGGGGTCAGTCCAGAAAACCATGGACCAGCTCCCCAAAGTGGATCCAGTCTGCCATCTGTATGTTTGATACCTCTGGGCTACACACTTGCTATACCCATACAAATTATAACGAACAGCAGCATGGATCTTTTCATTGACATAGTTATAGTAGTACAAACCAGCATGCACTTAGTTATACTGGGATGAAAAGGACCTTAGATCTTTAACATAATAGTAATATACTATATAATTAGGGACCTATCTAAATCGCAGTTTTGTGGATTTTGTGGAAACCGCAAAAAAGTGTTGTCCACACTGCTGGGAAATCCAGCATTGGCTACGATTTCCCACAAAACCAACCAAAAAAAGCAGTAATGAGACAGAATGAGTGAAGGCGCCCTCTGCCAATCAATGGCAAGGGGTGTGGCTGCCAGGGCCCCTCCACCAATAAGCAGCAAGAGGCAGGGCCACTGAAATGTCCACAAAAAATTAGCTCTGCATGCCACAAGTGGGCTGCACAACACCCTTTGCCCCACTGTGACTTAGGTAAGCCCCTATATACAACAAAGTATGGACAGACCACCAAGATACCACGAGATGAAAAAAAGTGTGGGATTTAACCACGTTCAGCTGCTTTAGCCTGATATAAATTTAAAGCTAACCTGCAGTATTTTATCCTTAAATGAAAGAAGGCTAAAATCAGATTAGCTTCCAGTTTCCAGAAAGGAAAAGAAAGCATATGGGCAATTACTATGGATCTAAGGCACGATAAATATATGCCCCTTTCTGTGTCTCAGTAAACTTTTTCATGCGTCTTTGCCCTGAAATATTCCTCCATGGGGAAAAAAACTAAACTAGTATTAGCCATCTTTACAACTGCATCCGTGAGTAAGACTTCATCATAAAAGAACTGAAGCAAAATAACATGCGGTTCAGATAAGTCCTTAAAATACAAGTGCTGAAGAAGCTGCTGTTCAAAGCCTTTCAGGTCTAGACATACTATTGCAAACTTAGCTCACTACTAAGCAGAGATCCTGTGGAGCTCCTGCTAATTCCAAACCACAAATTCCAAACATTTGTTTCTTCACCACTTTCGTTCAAGCTAAATAGAAAACACTGATTAGCTACTTGAGCCCGGGGGGGCGGGGGGGGGGGGCTGCCTGAGATTTGAAATAATGAAACCTCCAGTTGCTTCAGGACATTGCTTGTTTTATACTGATTAATATTGCCTTTAGAAACAGCAAGTTCAAGTATTTCCATATTTTTCATTATTGTTTTCTCCATTCTAAAATGAGTCAAACTTTTTCCTTCTGGCTATCCCACATATACAAATATTTATGAAAAAAAGGGTTTGCTCCTCATTTTAAATCTTGCTCATTTGTTTCATTTCCTTTTTTTGCAATAACTTCCAAAGTTAAAAATGTTAAATATGGTCATAAGGTTCAGTCTTAAGAGAGGTCTAAGGAGAAACAAAGCTGTACCCTCCTCATGCCTAAATATATATTCAGTTCTCAATAGAAGCACACCCATAGGATGCTGTAAGTCAGAGAAAGAGTGTAACTTTTTAAATATATGGTCATTTACCCATATTTCAAAACAACACTGATCAACATAGTTACCCAGCATAAGTCATCTTCAAAGCGGCCATACTTGCAGCTTTTTAATGGTTATGGTTTTGTGAAGCTATATAGCTCAATTAAGTATATTTTTAGTACTGAAAAATAATTCCCTTGAAATATCAAAACCATCTCTGAAATAGCTCTGTTCATAATCCCGACCCCCAAAAATAACTTCCTTTCAGCATTACAAAAGTAGTAATTGAATATTCGTTATATGTATTTTATTTAAAAGTCAAATTTCTTCTGTTACTACCTCTCCTACACAAAAAAAGATCTTTATGGAACTGACAAATACAGAAAGCAAAAGGATTGCACATGATCTATAGATAATACTTTGGCTGCAAAACACAGGTTAAGCATTATCAACAGGAGCTTTTCTGAGAATAAGAGAGATTAGCAGAACCTGTTGAAAAGGCAGCTCACGTACTGTCCAGTCAAAGAAATAATACTCTACTTGGTGTTTCTAGAATATGTAACATTTCTCTAGGTTTTAGGAAAAGGTAGAGACACATTCCAAACAATCTCTCAGTATACCAGAGGTGAGGAGGGAAACTGGAAACTAGAAGCAGCTCAGTATATTTAGGAATTATTCAAAACTTTAAGATGAGGAAAAAAGCAGGAAACAAGAAGCAAAACAAAGCATGATGGGACTGTTACTCCTTACACCTACAGGGGAAAAAGGCACTTGATGAAATGTCGGTAACCATGTCTCTAATAAAAAAAAAAAAAAGCCAACAGAGGCAGTAGAAACATGAGATGCAGAGGTCTAAACTAAGTATCAATATGGCCAGATTGCAATTAGAAATGCAAGTTGTAGTATAAAGGAGTCTTGCCTGTCTCAATGTTTATTTAAAGGGAATTCCTAAAGAAATATTCTATAGGAGGCATGTTTTCTGCAAGATGCAGGAATCTTCCATATTTTAAACTTGATGTATACTACAGAATTTCACCACTTCACAGTTACAGCTAAGCATTACTTCCTGCAGCATTTTAGCTCATCAAGCAGCTTGGCTTGTATTAACCAGTGCAGCGTGACCACTAAGTATACCCACCACCTTTATCTTTACACTGTAGCCTCAATCCCTGTAACATCAGGGACAGTTGCAGGGGCTTATGCTGCTGTGTATGTTTGATATCTGTCCACTGGCTGACACATACAGTTGGTGTGTATATTATAATGAGATAATCATGAGATCACCGTAAGGGATGCATCAATTCTCAGTTTCTTTTTAATGCTAGTTGAGCCGCTCAGAATACATGTGTTTGTATTTGCTAACATTATATTGTATTTGGTTTCTTACAACGATTTGTTTTCCTTTTTGCTTCCAGTAGCTTGATTAATGTGTGATGAGCATAGGCTCAAGGGTTCAAACAGTTGTATACAGTCACTACCAGAAAAGTCCAACAGGTGTTCCTACACCCCGGTGACCCTTTATCTAAATTCTTACAAGATAACCCAAGATACAGAGGGAGGTCATTATTCTGGGCTAGCTGATGAAGCCCAGATTGTCACCCTGTTCTTATTCCCTGATCCCATGCTATGAAATGTACATGACATTTGGATGCTATGGAAGTACCAAACAATTGGCTCTTCGGTATACCACGAGCAGGTAGGAAGAAAGCTAGGATTCACTTTGGGATCATGGAGGAATGTTGACATGCGTCTTCTTACTACATCCCTTTTCTGTTTTCCCACAGCAACCTCTGCCATCCCCTCCTTCCCCCCTCTCCCCCTGCCCAAGTCTCAGCTATTTGGGAGATGAGGCTGTCTACTGAGGGCCAAGGCCTTGATAATGTACAGGTAGCAATATACTGGTTTATTATTAAATCTCAATAGCAACTTAACACATGCATACTGGACCTATTCCATGCTGTGTAGTTCATGAACAGGTCACGATATGTGGTGTGCAAGGGGGAGATGAGAGTGTTTACACTCAAATAACGTTTTACATTAAAAGCGTTTCTGAAGTTTAAATGAACCATCAGATGCCCTGTTTTCCTACTGTAGGAGGAAAGCCTTAACTGGGAAGAGTAAGAGCAAAGTTGACGTGAAAAAAAGGCTTCTTCTAGGCAGACATGGATCTGGAGGGGGGAAGGAACGGCTGACAGCCTGTGCTTTGTGCTACTAAAGCTGCTTGCAAGAGTCACAGGACTGCACTGAGAGGATTAACTAAACAAGTGTAACCACCACCCCTGGACTTCCCTGACACTCGAGCATTGGCAGTGGTTTGAATTGAACTGGTGCAGAAAGAAACATGTTCATGAACTGCACAGAGCTGACAATTTCCCTGGTACTTGGAACATCCAGGACACATTTCCAACAGCCTGACAAGTGTCCCTGCCACCTGGAAGACTACTGGAGATGCTAAAATTCTTTAAATGCAGAACAGACTTGTCTGTGTCTGGCCAAGAGCTACCAGCAGACATTACTACAACATACCAGAAAATACCTAGATGCCCTATACATTCCCTTAATATACGTTCTTATCCAATTAAACAAGTTAACAGTATGCTACACAATTTGATTTTCATTCTCTCTCATAGGAAAGTGATAAAAAAATAAAGAGAGAAACCAGCATTATTAAGAGCCAGTGATAATTTTATAGCTTTGCATGAGATAGAAAATGAAGTAAATGTAGTCAGCCATAAGCAGCAAGTTACCTTTAAAATCACCAAGTAGGAGTATATACTGAATATCCTCCAAACACAGTATCAAGGGGAAAAATTCACTTAATGTGTAACAGTAAGTTCTCAAGAAACACTTGTGCATAAAACCTTTTTTCCCTTTGATTTTTGAGACATATAGGACAGAACAGAGTAAGATCCTTTGCACATTGGAAAAAGCCTACAGGTAACCTATATTTTGTATTCAAACTGCTACTAAACTTTTGGAAGTTATAAAAAGAACAAGTGAGTGTAGTTTAGCATCTTCAGATAAAAAGCAAGGAAAAAGGAAACAGAATAAGGACTAGAACCATAACCTCAGAAAGGGTTTCCTATTTGACCTTCATCAACTACCTTATCCTCACTTCAGATGAAGGAAAAAGATATCACTGACATCACAGTACTGTTAGGTAGAATAACTACTGTTTGTAACCTGAGATCTTTGTATGAAAGGACTGAAATGAAAATTATGAAGTCATATTTTTTCTATAGCAGAAGTGATTCAGATTTATCATTACCTTTACTTTCAGTTAGTGAACAGGGAGTTATACAACTTGAAGAGAAACTGAAGTTTCTCTAAACCAGACACTTTTCAAAGACAGAATTTTAATAATGATTATAACTGACAAATAGGCAGGTTACAAAATGTATTCATTCTTCTTAAAAATAAGCTTACATTTTTCGGATCTCCTCTTGTGATACAGAGGATTTGTCCATATAGAACTATAGTTCTAAAAGTACATTTTGACTTATTAGAATCTTTTCACAACTGGAAAAAGAATAGCTACTTCAGCCACCCAACAATATTGTTACTGATGAAGGCAAAAAAGGATGTGCTCTGATTTTGTAAGTACTGGCTTAAGCAGTTACAAAACAACAGTTTGGCAGAAGACAAAGGCATACTAAAGCTGTAATGAGCCTATACAAAAATTCACATACTAAACCTCTTGTATTTCCCATTTCATGCAAGTACGATTGAGCAAAGGAAGTTAATCTGCATCCAGAACATTTTTTTTTAAATTTCACAGACATGCATAAAATCAGGGTAATGCCAGTGCAACTTGCCAAACTGTTGTTTTTAGAAGCTTCACAATCCCAAAGATTATTGATAAAACATACCATTAGGCACACCATAGCATTTCCAATTTTCACAGAAGACATATTTGCAAAAGCTATTTTCCTATAGCACGTGAACAATTCAAAGTGAGTTGTTGATTTACCTTCTATAACTGCTGCTATAGCCTTTACCTCGTGGTGAAGGGCCATGTACGAATCTACATGTGTTCCCATAGAGGCAGTTGCCAGTCTTCAGCCAGTTACGGCACTGTGTCTAAGAGACAGACATTACTGGGTGAATTTCACACTCATTTCTGGAAAGACCACTGGTGTGCATGTGGCAGAATACACAAATTATTCTACATTTATTTCCATTTATCTGAGATTTCCCTGTGCCAATAATTTACTTCATAAAAACCAACGATTAGCATAAAGGTCTGGCAAAATAATAAAAATGCTATTAAACTAACCTTATTACTGCACCTCACAGAAGAGGGTACAACACAAGTTATTTAAAAATATACTAATTCATATCATGATGAACACCCGGAGTTACATGGCTCCCTTCATTTCCACTAATATCACCAGTGATTGGGTATTTACTAATCATGAACTACTCTACAACATTGTCTATATCCTGGAAGAGAAGATAATGGGAAAGTGAGGAAGAGAAAAAACACTTTTACAACTCACCTCTGCAGTACTTCCAGTGCTGGGTCCAAGCCTTTCAAACACACTGGGTCTTCGGGACGTGCTATCGGATATGGTCTTGGTATTTTCCACTGTGACCTTCCTTCTAATTTTTGACATTTTGTACTACTTCAACCAAAAAAAAAGCAAAACTGTAAAATCTTCAATCTGGGGCTATTGACACGAAATTCATAAAGATAAAATATTACACTATAAATTGTATGACTTGCTGCAGAGGTGATGGATAAAGAAACAAGAAAGGTCATAAATGAGTAAAATGTATCTAATTACAGAAGGGATGACTTTAATGATAAATAAAACAGTTTCAAATTAGTCAACTGAACATTTAGAATTATGTTTTTTCATTTTATTTTATGATCAGCTTTGGATTCCCTGCCTGCCTTTTGGAAAAAGCTCAGGCGATGCTCTGTTTATTCAGGAAAAAAACAAAACGCAAAAAGCAGTTTTCTCTGACCACATGTTTTTGACCATCAGCTTTGGGATTTCAAGTATAAAACACCACTCTATGGTATTTACCCACTGCCTCAAAACTAGTTTCACTGGTAACGTTGGCTCTTAATTTTAGAAGCCAGGGGTGCTTATACATGTGCAGCAAGGCTTCTCCCTGCACTGTAATTACAGCATGTCAGAGCAGACTCCAGCATCCCCATGCTGAAAAATGGCGATGGGGGCACCATTTTTCAGTGTGGGAATGTTGATGCACGTGACCCTCCAGGTGTTTTAATTAGAGCAGCTATTGAAGCCACCATAATTAAAGTGCCTCCCCAGTGCCCACTCCCAGAGCACATGTATAAACAGCCTTAGGTTTCTGAAAGGGAACTCCTATTTCTCCCTTCACTGTTAAAGGCAGCCCACTGGAAGCCATCTCCTTTGCCCCGTACCTCTCCTCCCTGCCACTTTTCCCTCCCTACCAGTCATCGTTGTGCATACTGTTCATTGTAATGCTGTCTACAACTGCTGAGTTTTTAAAGAATGAAAGATGGCATTTATAATGAGCTCACTCCTAGCATTAACTGAATACATTTTACAAACAGATACAGCATAAGGCCAACAAATGAGGAAATTACACACTGTCTTACCTGGGAGAAGGAGGGGCCTTTTAAATAGAGTATCAAAGGGGAAAAGAGAATATGACGCAGGAAACAGAGGTTGCAAAGGGAGCAGAATGGACCCCAAAAATTAATGTCCATTGCTTCAAGCACTATTAATCGATACCAAAAAAAAAAAAAAAAAAAAAA